ACTTTCTTGGTCACATGGTACCACTGCAGCATTCAACAAATCTAACTTTGTAAGTGCCACTTGCTATGGGGATTTTTCAGGTAATCTCTGGCCCGAGTCCAGCACGGGGAGCACAGGGTGAGGTCCTTGGCAGGGCAAGCCTGGAGAGACTTGAAGATCATCTGGGGACAGCCAGGAGGATGGAGGGTCCAGCTAGTTCTCTGCAAAGGCAGACACTGGATGATACAGCACATATCTCCAAATAATTGTGGGGACTGGGACAGAGACAAGCAGGAGAGCTCTGCAGAGCCAGAGCTGAGTCTTGCTGAGAAACCAACCAAGCAGGCAGAGACTGGGTGAGGATCCCCTTGGGGACAGGCACCAGAACCCCCAAGGGAGATGTTGCCACTGGAGGACAGTATTGTCCTTAGTATAGGGGGCTTCTGCCCTCTGATGACTGTGCAGCTGGGCCCGAGGCTGCTTCTGAAACATATTCCAAAGAAGCCTTTTGATGTGATTGAAAGGGGGGCTGAAAGAAGGGCCCAGTTCCTCCTCTGCTAAGCCAAGAGTAGACAGCAAAAATTAGAAATAGATTTGAATCCTAGTCTTTGCCCTCTGCTGTAAGCATATTTATAATGAAGTGGGGGCATAAATAAATAAAGATATCCAAAATGAAGTAATGGTGCATGTGATGATAATGACTGCGATGATAACTCAGAAAGATTGTTTATCTGAGCATGGTGGCTCATGCCTGTAATTCCAGCATTCACAAGGCCGAGGCAGGAGAAATCATGAATTGGAGACTACCATGGGTTACATAGTGAGACCCTGCTGAAAAAAAAAAGATAATTTATAACTGACAGTAACTACCATGCACAGAAGACCAGAAACAATGCTGTACATTTTATGATCCTATCTCCTGGAGTCCTTCAATGAGCTAGGGCCTGAAATAGTCCCATTTCACAGATGAAGAAACTGAACAGCAGAAAGTTGCATTTACCCCAGGCAAAAATGCTAATCAGTGCCAGAGCCAGGATCTCAGTGAGGTCCTCGGAAACCTATTCATGTTATTCTCCCTAACACTGCTGCCCTGCAGGCTTCTGGTCCTTTGACTTGTGACCCAGCTTCTCCAGGAGAACATTCCAGAAGCAGAGCCAGGGTCTGTCAGTGGTGTGCAATGCTCCCTGAACTACCTCATGGACCTCATCCATGAGATCCTCGTAATGCTGGCCCCGCAGCCCCAGCAGTTTGGCATGCTGGTCCTCATCTCCATATTGCTTGTAATCACAGGGCATGTGCTGTATTTTTTTTATGCAAGAAAGTATAAGATTAAAAACGCCCAGGTGAGCAAGACCACGAAGAAGGGCATTTGGATACCTCCAACCTGAGAGGCAGGCAGCACTTCTCAGAGTTCCAGCAACACTGGCCCCATCTCCCAACAGTGTTTCCAGTGATCTCCCCTCATTGCTACTGTGTGAGTCTTGTGCCATCGTGACATTTGGGAGCAAAATGTCATTCACCTCTTGACAACAGGATCAACTGCTTAAAGTGTCTTTGGTGGCACTCTCCCACGTGTGAAAGGGGTACACCCATTAACTGAATTCAGAGACTCCCCCCTCCTAGACAACCTGACCAGTGCTGGCTTTAATTTTACCAATATAAGAAGCCAGTGTTCTTTGGGTTCTTATATTTGTTGCTCTTTGGGTTCTAAAATTAGAATATTCTGGTCAATGTTAAAATTAGACAGGTGGAGCATGGCCAGTGATCTTTAGTCTCAAGTGTTTGCATGTGTTTTTGTTGTTGTTCTTCTTCAGCTAATTGGTGAATGTTCTTTGGTTGAGCTAAGTGCCCCAAGTGAGGACCGAAGCTATTTGCTGGAGAAACAGATTATAAGGATACCGCTGCATGATTTACGGACTCCAGGGCCAGCCTAGAGATCTGGTGGTCCCTTGCCAACTTAGGCAAGCTTCATCTCTGTGATTGAACTAACACCAGCTCTGATTAAGAATTCCACTAGCTGGGTATGGTGGTGCATGCCTGTAATCCTAGCACTCTGAAGGCTAAAGTAGGAGGATGGCAAGTTTGAAGCTAGTATGGAATACCTAGTGAAACTGTCTCAAAAATCCAAACAGGAATGCTACTAGTTTGTGATGAGCAAATGGAGTTTCTGGTCACTTACAACAATTAACAAAAAAGCTAGCTTTTTGAGGAAGCTAGAAGAAAATCCACATTTCTTATCTTAAAATAGGGACTAATTGCCATTTTTATAAGTGCTATGATATATACATTTACACAGAAGTGAAATGATGATGCTAGCAACAAAGGCATTTTAGACTTAGTAGTTTAAAGCTTTCTGTGTCACATTTTGGGAATAGCCTGTGGCACACACGGGAACACCTTAGCAGGTGGGTGTTGATGAGAATGACATTTTCTAGGACAGTTCTTCTCAGCTTCTGTACTATTGATATTTGGGGTCAGATTATCTTTTGTTATAGGGGCCTTCCTGTGTATTTTAGGATATTTTTGCAGCATCTCTGGTCTCTACCCACTAGATGCAGGTAGCACTCCCCACCCTCACCCCCATATGCAGTTGTGACAGTCAGGTGTCTCCAGATATTACCTAATGCCCTCCCAGTTAGGAGCCACTACTTAAGAGAGATATGAAAACTAAGGGAAGAATTCACAACTTACTGTGAATGCTGGCAGTGTGTCTCAGTGATAGAGCATTTGTCTAGCATGCCTGAGGCCCTGGGTTTGATCTCCAGCACCTCATAGAAGAAAACAAAACATCACTATTTGTACCAAGAAAACTACAAAAGGGGAATCTGATACAGGCCTGCTTTTTAGAGCAGTTAAATGAAAATGAAAGAAATTTTGTGGAACATTTTACTTAACAGAAGGTGGTTTTTTAAAAGAGTATTTTATACAAGTTCTGATATTTATGGTGCCACCTCCCCCAATCTCTCTCCTCTCATTAAAAAGTTTAAAAGACCACACACACACACACACACACACACACACACACACACATACACACCCCAAACCAAACCAAGTAAAGAATAGATCAGGAGACCAGATCTATTTTTCATCTGAATTCTTTACTAAGGAAATTGTATGGGGAGGAGGGAGTCTCAATACGTAGCACAGGCTGACCTTGAACTCTCAATCCTCCTGCTTCAGCCAAGTGCTGGGATTACAGGTTTGTGCCACCATTCGAAGCTCAGGAAGTAGTATTTTGATGAGATGTTGTATATCATATCCTTTGACCTTTGATTAATGAACCCACAAATGTTTATACAGAGTAGTCATAGAACAAGAGCATCTAATAAATACATCTTGAAGTCTTTTATTTAAAATCTCAAGCAGCATAAGAGTAGAACGCATGCCAAGTTTTCTAAGTAATACTGCCTCCCTACCCCTGCAATTTCTGCCCTTGGAAAAAAAATAGCTGCTTCCCTGTAAGTTCTGCATTTTAAGCACTAATTTTACTTTTCCTTTTCTTCAAGGCTCTATCTAGTAGAACATGGGCTACTATTGGCATATTTCCATGATTGTGCTGATTCATGTTTTAGACCAGTGCTAATAGAAATATAATACAAGTCTTATTTATGTAATTTAAAATGTATATTTCATCCCATCCAATGATCTCTTTTGTCTCTGAAAGACTGGTGTTGCTGTTCCCCTGGAAATGCAGAAGGCAACAATGGAGGGTCAAGACAATCTGTCCCATGCAGTTTAGATAATTCACCACCAGGGGGCCTTCTAGTCATGATTGCATAATCCCAGATTGTGATAGAGCACAAATGTACCCTGCAATACCGCAATCCGAACGTCTCAGTTTACAAATTCAAGGTCGGTTTTGAAAAGGCAATCTTTATGAGCACATGATAAAAATAAACCTTTCAAACCTATCTCTGGCTATTTATCTGTTCACAATCTGAGTATGACTTTCCTCAAGAAGTGTTATCACTGGCCAGGCTTCCCAAGGTCACCTAACCAATGGACTTCCCTGCTCAAGAGCCAAATGCAGCAGTTGTTGCTGCTTCTAGGTCCTCATTTAGTTACTCAGAAACCTTCTCCATTCTAATGTTCTCTTCAAAGTACTTACGATTATGAAGGAAGAAGAAAATCTTCTTGCTTGGGTTCAGGAAGCCTCAAAGGCAGATAACCACTCCCCTCCTCCATTGAAGTGATGTTCAATTGCAAAACCAATTTTTTGTCAGCTGGCTCTTTTCTCTGCTCTTAGGAAGAACAGAGCCAAGTTGCTCATAGCCCACACCAGTTCTAATGACTTGGTTTATTTTCCTGCTTCTTTCTTGCTGGGCTTTAAATCCCCCTTCAAATTATTGTATTGTTAGCTGTTTTTGTTACAAGCTACTCCAAATCATTTTGGGAATGTAGTGATGATGGGGTCAAAAGCAGATACTATTCCTCAGTTAGTATTAACAATAGAATCTTCCAGACATTGATCCAGATGCAAAATGAAGCTATTCCTTACAGAAGTGAAGCCATTAAAGGCTTAACCTTATAGTTAGATGGAGAGGGCATGCTGTGAAAGCTCAGTGGGTAGGGATTGTCTCTACCACAGGACTTAGCACATTAGAAAGCCAGCAAATATTTTGTCACATTATCTAATAAAATACTTAAGGTTTTAAGACCCTCACAAATATACCTATTTTAGTCTGGAATATTCATTTGAATGACGAAACCTGCTTACTTGTGTAAGAAACAGCAACTATTTGCACTCAAGTGCTTAGGGACACTGGAGAACCTTAGACAAAAAGGGATACCATTTCTGAATCAAATTAGGAGACTCAGTTTACCTAAACTGACACATCAATGAAATAACTGTGATACACAGTGAGTTATGTCACTTTATGTGCAAGGTTAGTGAGTGGAGTTCTTAAGTAAGATTTTATATTTTCAAAGAAGTCATGATCATTAGCAGAAAAACTATATTCCAATCATAACTTCTTACATAGTCACAATTACAGATTCTCTTAGGGCCCAAATCTCTCACTTAGAATAACTCTTCTGACAACATTAAGTTCAAATTTGCTTCCCTTCTCTTTAAGCAAACGAAGCACAAGTAACGGTGTTTTCATTCCTCTCCAGCTGTTAACCACAGGGTATGTGTGCTGTACTAAAGAAGGCAAGTTAATCCTACTTGCCCCATTCTCAGCGGTTCCAAATCTCTTAATCACAGTATTGTACAATTCTCAGTTGCTATGGTTTAAGAATAGGGATTTGGGAGTGCAGCAAAGAATCCATCAAACCCAGAAAATAGGCTGAAGGACCGTTTGCTCACACAGGAAAGATGGCACAAACTGAGCTCAGTACCCTTGATCACAGGGCAGGGCTCATTGAACCCATTGGTCCTTCCAGAATCATCTTTGACTATCTCCAAGAGGAAAAAGGAATCAGACTGATTCTTTCAATCAGCCTTTCCCAGGAGTAAATTCAGTGGCTTACCTACCATCAGGCTCCCAAGGCCAGTTACTCTGCCTCTGGAACCTCATTTTCCTACTTTCCTGGCAAGCCAATACTGGCCAAGGCTCTGCTTTATTGGAATGGAAATCAGCCATTATGGAAAGCAAGGCTGTTAGTATTAACAAAGCAATGGAACATGTAACCTTCCATGGCGCATTTTGCTACTTGTGGCGACAATGGGTTTTCAGACTGGGAAAAGTACCACAGCAAAGGCAGAGCAACCCATGTTGTTGCCCCCTTTATGCATAGGGTGACGTTCATCAGACTAGCGTGCCAATGCCTTACTACCTGTAACACCTAGCTCTCAGCGTTGTCGTATAATGAGTCACGTACGTGACTTTATATCCTAAAAATAACACATTTTTTGCTGTTAATATCAGAATAAAGTCATGTAAATGGTATTACCAAACCACCTTCCAGATTTCTTTGGAAACAAGTCATTAAGACACCAGAAAGGATGTTTTAAAGGTCATGTTTATTAGAGTATGAATTTACATTCAGGAAAATTGACCCTGTCAAATAGGTGTTTGACAAATGCAGTGAAGATGTAACTCACTTAAAACAAACAAACAAAAATCCCTTTTGTCCATCTGCAATCCACCCCTCCCTGATCTCTTGGAGATCTGTTTCTGTCAAAGGTTCAAATTTAATCATTAAAGTCATCTATTGCAGAAAAACATGGAAACATACAAAATTGATGCTAATACTGGGTCAAGTTTTACACTAGGACTGGATGATAGGAAACTTATCTTACATAATGAAACTGAACGCTACAGAACTTCTCTTATGGGGCCAACTCAGTTACAGAGCAGAGGTACAAAATTCCCAAATTATCTTTCTATATTTAATTTGGAGCATCACAAAATTCACCCCTACTCCCACCATGAAAGGGATGAAGAAAGTCAAATCCTCTATTTTGTATACATAGCCACATCACACACCTTATCTTCTTCACAAGTTTCACTGACTCCTCCAGGCATGGGACCTGTAGAAGGATTATCACAGTAGGTAATTAGATCAGCAATTAGTAAATTAACAAAATAGTGTTGTCTAGATTACATTAACAAACAATTGCAGCTAAATAGATTATCCCTACCTATTGCCCACTCAGTTCTAACACACAAATTTCTTCCTTATTCTTTTCTTTTCCCGAAAGATCCTATCTTTCTCTTAGCTTAATGAAGTTAAATCTATCTACCAGAAGCTTTCCTCACTTTTTACCTAAGGCAGATTTTTCAAAGGGATGGTGGGACCAGATTTAGTAAAATCCTGCCTATCAAGTTGGCCTCAGGTAAATCCTTTAACCCATCAGAGCAGAAGCATATCCAATCAGATTAGAGTTCTCATCCTTGGCCAAGAATTCTGTCCCACTATTAACTCAAGCCAAGTTTTTTCCATTTGATTCATACCTTAATATCATCAGCATCTTCAACTCCACGGGGCCTGGTTTAAAAAAAAAAGTGATAACAATGTTAAGAATATCAGGCCATAGCTCTAGAGTGGTCTTTACTGTACTATCTTCAAATGGAACTCCTGTTCAAAACTATGAACTCAAATTTCTGACATAGTCTTCTGCTTTGAGTAAAATGAATGGATCTAGATTCCTGAATGTATCTGCACTTTAGCAGTTTCATCTTTCCAACTATATCTTTGTTGTACCAACTTTAAAAAAGAAACATTACTGATTATAGTACTTTTGTTTTTTTGCAAATCAAAAACAGAATGAAACTTGTTTGCCCTGAGGCTGACTGAGCCCAGGAGTTGATCGTCCTGGGAACTTCCTCAGCTTTCACAATCCTTAAATAGACATTGGCTTGCCACTGCTTCCTTGGCGTGCCAGGTTCTCAGCCTGTGTCTCCCATGACTGAATAGTTAAAACCACTGGGCTCAGCAACAGTCCTAACACTTAAAGGTTCGGTAAAACGAGCCCCTCCCATCACATGCTCCAGTGTTGCAGGGCTATTGGCCAGAGACTCAGTCTTGTACGTTGGGCCCAGATCCCAGGCTACACCACACTCCTTGCTCTTTCAAGAGGTGGTAACATCGATGTCCCACTTAACTTAACCATCATAACAAATCTTTCAGAACCTAGGGAAACATGTCAACCACAAGCCTCGCTACAAAGTGGGCAGCCACAATGATTCCTTCTTTATTCACTCGTCTAAGTTTCGATCTTTACAGATGTTACCAAGCTCAGAAAACATTCTTTTGTACAGCAATTTGTACCAGTAAGAAACACTGAGATCAGCTCTCGCTGATGGTCAAAAGACAGACAAGCTTTTTCTAGGCAGCCTTGCATGCCTCTTAGTGGACCTAAGTTAGGTGGTCCACCGCCTTGTGTTTTGCCCTAGGACAGATCTCACTGCCTGTGAAGCTGGAAGCGGCCCTGCGCACACAGCGCGGCCACCCCTGCCAAGGCGGGCCGGGGGAGAAAATCGGGGCTCCCGGCGCTCGGCCTGACTCACTGCAGCCGTGGGCTCCCAAAGACTCACCCCAAACCTTTTACGACCCAACCGCCGTGCAAAGTGGCAACGGAAAGGCACTTGTGACAGGGAAGTGGCCACGTGGGCGAAATAACCTCTGTTACTAACAATGGGATACTACTCAGCTCGGAAACTTAGGGGCTTCACACCTCTGATCGCGTTCACTCCATAAACAGACTGTGTCCCTGTCCCCAGGACTACTGAGGGCGCGCGGGGTCCTCGCCAAGACCCTGGAAGCCGTCCCGCCCTGTGCTTCCGCCGGGTCCCAGCCCGACGGGCTCACCAGGGTCTCGCCGGGGCGGCGGGGTGGGGTGGACGCCGGGGCAGGGAGGAGCGCGCCGAGAAGGGGCGGTGGGCTAGCCCTGGGGCCACATGGCCACGCAGGGGACTCTGGCCAGCAGCCACCGGGACCGACTTACCCTGGAGCGCGCCGCGGCGGAAAAGGGAGGGCGCCGGCGAGACCAAGTTTAAAACAGGCCTGGGCCGTCAGCACCCGGGCGGCGGCCAACCAAAAAGTTGCCCGAGGGCCCCTCCCCGCCCGCACCCCGCCCTGCACCCCGCCTTGCGCCCCCTCGCCCGGACGTCCTCGCGCGCCCCCTGCCGGCCATACGGCCTCCCAGCCTGCGGGGTCCGCCGGCTCCCAACGTCTGCAGGGACACCTGCGACCAGCTTACCTCGCTGAAGCCGAGGGGAAGCTCCTGTCACTCCAGTAATGCCGGGTATCTCTGCCCCTCCTCTCTCCTTGTAATTGCTTCTTAAACTCATCAGCCACACCCCCTTTGTGCTTATTGTCATTTTAAGATTCACGTCTAAACCGAATTATGTAACAGATTAGTTCCTTGAAAGGAACTTGATATTATGATGGGGGTTGGGGAGGTGGGGGTGGAAGCTCTTTGTAACGGAAGGACTCCGGTGTCTGGAAATCCCAAGGTCGGTAAATATCTTGCACCCAAAGCACCTGGCTCACCGGGATGAATGCAGAAAAAGCAACAGTTCTATTGTCTGTATGCCTTAGGCAACACTGTGTCTGCAACTTGGGTGTTAACTTTGACTTTCAAGCACATTTTCGAAGATGTACTGAAGTGCTGGCTTCCAGTACCTGTGAATGGAATCTGATTTGTAAAGTCTCTGCAGATGTAACTGGGTTAAGATGAGGTCATGGGGTTGAGCCCTCTTAATGCAGAACCCTGGTGTCCTTATAGCAAAGGGAACAGCATGTGAAGATAGAAATATACAAGGAGAACAGAGGCAGACACTGGAGGGATGCGGCTGCAAGCCTAGGTTAGGAAGACACAGGAAGAGGAAAGCAGGGGCCAGCTCTGCCTTCCAAGAGTTGGGACAGCATCTCCTATAAGTCCTTGGTTCCCCACTTTACTGCTGATTACTGTCTAGTGCACTTGCTGGTACCTAAAGGCTCTCAATATGTAATTGCTGACTTTAATGAGTAGTGGGTGATTCAGGCGGGCAGTGTACCATGAGGTCATGGTCATGCTTATCGTGTATTTAGGGACTCCTTGTCTAGACATTTATAAACTTGAAAGGCACGAATCTTCATGTTCAGGACTTTGTGTCCACCTCACCCAAAGGGCTTACCTTCTCTTCCAGAAGCAGGAATTCTCTGGAAGAAAAGCTGGGTGGAGGGGTAAGGAGTCTGCAAGCCGCAAAAGCACTGCTGGGCTGCCCCTGGAGTGCCCAGCTCTACTCTTACATTAACAGTTAGCTTTAATCTGTCCCTAGGGTTTTGGAATTTGAGGCTTTCTAGGAACAAGAGTACTTGAGACCATTTTGGTTGGACCAAATATTGAGTGTTTGTTCTGTGCCAGGCCTTGTGACTGGTGCTGAAGGTGTGAAATTCAATGAGGACCTGTCCCTACCCTAATGTGAGGGAGATAATGTGGGATTTACCTGCTGATAGAGGTTCCAGCAAAGTGTCCAGGGCCCAGCACAAACCACTGGGTCCAGCCTGGTAAGGATATGGGAAGATTTCCTGGAAATGAGGGTTCCTAAGGTGGGCCTAGCATTATAAGCAGGAGGCTGATAGCACAGAATGTTTAGCAGAACAAAGAATCAAAGCAGCCAAGAAAGTTAAAGGAAAAAAAATCACTGGATTATAAAATAGAAGGGACTTGAATCATCCAGAATTTTCTTTGAAGTGGAGCTGACCTTAGATATTCTGGTATTCTCCAAAAGCAGAGCTGTCACGAGGGTAGCATGTGAGTTCTGTGAGAACTGTTTCCTTCTCTCCGGAATTCCAAGAACTCAGCATAGTGCCTGGAATATATTTGGATAAGACTACAGGGAATAAGATTTGCCATTAGGTTCCCACAGTAGTTGAGTATTCAGATCACAAGACTCTGCAAGGCTCAAAATGGGATATCCTGTGCTGTGGCTGCTTTGGGTCACGTACAATATGAATTTATCCCTGTATTCCCAGTACTGGCCTAGGGCTTGGAACAATAAAACCTGCTGAATTTCCTTTTTAAAAATTTACTATTTTTGTTGTTGTTGTTATTTTTGTGGTGCTGGGGATTGAACTAGGGTCTTGTATGTGTTAGGCAAATGCTCTATTTCTGAGCTACACTCCTAGCCATCAAATTCCCTTTCTTGGTGTCAGCTGGCCTGCCTTTCACACACACTGTGAGCTACTTTAGAGCAGGAAGCCCAGGACTTGGCAGTTTGGCACTTCTCTGGCTAATTTTGCAGTTGTTGGGGGAGAGGGGAGGCGTTTTGCTCCAGCCTCACTTTTGCCTTTGGAAGGACTTCTGCAGGTGGCCCTGGGTCCTCTTGTCCATCCTTTCCAGGAGAATAAGATTTCAATAAGATTCTGTGCTGTTGGGAATGCTGAGTGCATAAACTCAGATCATCCTGATGGCCTCCATCCTCCACCTGTCCCTTTTCTCATCGGGAACTGAGAGGCCCCACTGATGGGGGAGCGGGGAGGAGACAGGGGTAAGATGCCCTTGGGAGGCCATCAAAAGCTAACTTGGTTTAGTGTGCAGTCAGTTGGGCACATTATAAGTGTAACTATCTGTGCGTCAACTACCCTACTTCAATCAAATGGATCCTTTGATTCACGCAGACCCAGGGTTCAAACAGGAGCCAGGGAGGAGTGTATCTGCTTTATTATCCATTGCAACCATCAGCCAGTCAGTCAGTCCCCATCATCATCAGCATCAGAAGCAGTAGCAGCAGCAGCAGGCTGCTCAGTGCAGTGGTTTCATACTACTATAGATGAAAGTGGCATTTAACCAAGTTATTACATCTACTGCACATGTGGATCCAGCCATTGTTTCACAGCTAGCTGTCCTTGAGTGATTACTTAGTGACAGTGGACTTATCTCTTGAGTGTACCTGTGTACAGGTGATTAGCTTGATAATCACTTCTCTTACACTCTTAAGCTTCTGTGCTTTTCGATAGTCCAAAATGCACGGACTAATCCTCATGGATCCTGCAATGCCACCACCCAGCATTGTCTCCAGTGCTCATTTTTGGCTTCAGTTATGCTCTGGCAGGTGACATCCTCTTTATGGAAGAAGAATAAGTCTATCCCAAACTGTATGCTGTGAGGATTTGTTCCCTTTTTTTCTCACTGCCCAAGGCCAGTATAAGGTGGTGGTAACCCAGGTTCCCACTGGGATGGAAGGGCAGAGGAGGGACAGTCTCGGCTCTGAAGACACCATGTGAACAGTAATCAAGCTGACACTTTAATTTCCATTCTGTATTTCATGCCTGAGTCGGTTGTGTATTGCCCTGTCTGAACCTTATCTCCAGGAGAATCCACGGCTCCCATGTTCTCTAGGACCGACATCAGACACAGATCTGGGAGTTTGCTGCAATGAATTAGTGAGCCCAGCCTTGTACTCACGTGCCTGCACATTTACTGTGTTGTTGCAGTGTAGATCCACGATATAATCTAGTGTCAGCCATTACTTCTGCTCCAGCTGGACAACACTGTAATTGAGGTCATGGGGCTGTTTGCCATGTGCGGGGCTCTGCTGACAGCTCCAGCAGCAGGAGGCTTATTTTCAAGCCAAGAGAGAATGTCTGCCCTTGATGAAACAGACTGTTTTCATCTGCTAAACAAGCCCTGGGGACTGCTTGTGGCAGAAGAGGGTGCAGAGGCGAGGGTCCTGGAAACCTGTATACAAATGCTCTTGTTTCTCCTCTTGGCGTGGGTACCAAAGAGCATCTCAAACCAGACATACCCTTGCAAAACGGAGTATCACTGTCCACGGTGCTTCTGGGAAATGCGTAGATGCGGTATGAAGGAAGTTATGTATTTGAGACATCAAATCTGTCACCTTTATTCATAAGAACAGTCTGGTTTGCTACAAAATGAAAATTTTAAAACCTATTTCTAACTCCCCATCCTTTTGTAATAAGCCCTCTCTTCTTTATTTCTCTTTATAACAAAACTCCTCAAAAGAGTTGTCTATATTTGCCTCCAGTTCTTCTCCTCCTCTCTCTTCTGAGCTGGATTGCAGTGGGCAGCCTTTGGGATGGCCCCTGGTACCCCCACCTCCTCTCCTTGTGCACTCTGTGATCCCCTTCCCTTGAGTGTGGGCTCTGTCCACAACTCAAGTGAAAAGATGTAGGCATCAAGTGTCACTAGGGAACTGCAAATTCCAGCAACACTGCCATCCCACTACACACACACTGGAATGGCTAAAATCCCAAACACTGACAACTGCAAGTGTTGGTGACCAGAACTCTCACTAATTGCTGGTGGGAATTCAAACTGGAATATTTGGAAGACAGTTTGTTAGTTTCTTACAACAATATGATCCACTAATGTGCTATTTAGTATATACCCAAGGAAGTTGAAAATTTATGTCCACAGCAAAACCTGTACATAAGCCAAATGCTGTGTCCCCTGTCTATAATCCTAGCCACTCAGGAGACAGAGATCAGGAGAACTGGGCTTTGAAGCCAGCTGGGAAAATAGCTCACAAGACCCTACTTTGAAAATACTCATCACAAAAAAGGGCTGGCAGAGTGGCTCAAGTGTTAGCAAGCATGAAGCCCTAAATTCAAACCCCAGTACAACCAAAACACCCCCCAAAAAACAACCAACCAACCAACCAAAAAACCCAAACCTATGCATGAATGTTTATATCAGCTTTATTAATAATTGCCAAGGGCTGGAGGTGTGCCTAGCAAGTGCGAGGCCCTGTGTTCAAAACCCCAGTGCAGCCAAACAGTAATAATAATAATAATAACAATAATAATTGCTCAAACTTGGGAGCACCCACATTGTCCTTTATAGGTGAACAGACATTCACCTATATTATATTCTAGACAATGTAATATTATTTTTCAATATTAAATGGAAATGGGCTTATCAGGTCACAAAAGGACATGTGGGAACCTTAAAGACATTACTAAGTGAAGGAAGCTAAGCTGGAAAGATTATATATCATGTGATT